TCTTCGTCCAAATGATAAATTGGTACAGAACTAGTACCTCTTCTTGAACGATATTGTGTTGAATGAGATGATCGAGATTGGTGTGACTCATTAAGATGTGATAATGATGATTGAACTTGTTGAGCTAATCCTATCAATTCCTGGCGCCAATCATGTGTTATATTATCTATACAGAGTTTTTTATGAATACCTAAATTCTTATATTTATAATAATAACAAATGACTGTTAACTGTACTATGAAATTTTGATTTATTAAATATCCTGATAACCTTGTAAATAAAATTTGTCAACATGATTTATTTGAAATTATCCATGAATAAATGTGAAATAGTTTATTAGCTAAGAATATTTCTGTGATACTATTAAGAAATATACAATTTATTTCGTCTAGTAAGTGAAATATATTATATTAAATCGATAAAAACAAGAAATAAGTTCTTTTTTTCTTCATGAATAAAATAAATTTTTGATGAAAATTGAAATCTATGAAAACATCTAGCATGAACATAAGATAATCTTATGTTAAAATCAATAAGATTCAAGTTTGAATAAGGCTTTACTTTCTTTTTATTTTTAATACATCAAACATATGACCTTGCAACTTTATTTTAACTAAAGTTATAAATAACTGATGGAATTTTTTTTTTCATTCGTTTCAATTCATTATTAAGTAACGTGCACATATTGTCTCAACTTACATAGACCAAACCGATTTGTCTTTCTTAATGGATTCTCATATGCTGATGGACTAACATAAGCTGAATCTTCAACATAAGGAATGTATCCATCTTTAATATCTATTGAAAATATAAAGAATAAATTAGAAATGAGAAATGTTTATTGAATACTATGAATATATTTCAAACGTTGTGGACAAGCAATATGACGAGCAGGACGTATTTGTCGCCCATCATTGCATAGTGTTTCATTTGAAAAAGTAGAGCCATAAACTAAATAAGCCAATATATGAAATCACTTCTATTTTTCATATACTCACAAGACATTGTTAAAATGAATAAAACGTGTGATCTCTATTTAAAAATCAAAGTAAAACAGACACAACAGTGATTCGAATAGAAAAATAATATATAATTCTGTCAGACTGAATGGATTCTTTTTTTTACTCTTCTTATTATGAAAAGAAATAATTGATTTCTTCTTTCTTGCCAACCAACAAAACAACAAAAATATAACATTATTTTGTATATTCTAACTACCAAATAATCAATAAAGTCAAGTCAAACAAAACAAAAATAAATAAACCTACTAATGTTCATGTCAACTCGACAAAATATTATAAAATCCACATGAATGATAAAGAATTCAACCGCTTTGTTTTTTTCTTCTGATACTATCAACTCAATTTTATTCTCAGCATGATATTAAAATCTTCATATAACGAAAAAAGAAAAAAGAAATATGATTGATTGTATTCTAAGATGACTGACAACAAGAATAGTAAACGACGTATTTTTATACGAGAACATGTATATAAACGAGATAATTATTTAGATGAAGTTGAATATGAATTTATTGATGACTTTGAATCTAATTCATCTATTGAACAAAATTATAGTTTATGGTTAAGACGAGATCATTATATGAAAACAATTTTACGACGATATGGTTATAGTGAAAATAAAATGCCAACATTTGAAGAATATATTGATACAATACGATCATTGATTGTTGGACATTGTTGTTCTGAATATGATCTTCGTCGAGCATTTCATATATTTGATCTTGATCAAAATGGTATTGTTGAATTACATGAATTTTATCAATTCATAAGTATTATTGGAAGATCAACAACAGAAGATAAAATATCAAATTTTATTGAACGTATTAATATATCCGATGATAGAAATTTGAATTATGAACAATTTAAACAATTTGTTAGACTTGGACATGGAAGAGAAATGCTTGTTAATGTTAGTTTGTAACAATAATAAATAGAACATTCATCTAGTTTTGAATATATGAAGGACACATATGTATTTCATTAGAATATTCATTGTTTTTTATTTATTATGTAACATGAAGTTGACATTCTTGCATAAAATAATTGTTTTATTTGAACATCTTATTGGCTAATAAATCGTACACTTAATCTTGTTATAGAAATCTTGAGCTATCAAAAGAGATCAAAAATAGATCTTTGGTTTTGTCGAAACATGGAATATATTTATCTTCTTTTTGAACTGATAACTTTGAGTTCACTAAATATTTCTTTCCTAATAAATAAATAATGCGTCAACAGCAAGCAACAAAAATAAGGACAAAACTTCTATTATTCAATCTATAGGAAGTTGATTTGACAATATTTTTCATTTTTTCTAAGAAAACAATGAGTTCTAGTCTATCAGTTGATCATTATGTTTATATATATATCTTTTCGACTGCATAAAAATTTATATGTAGCATCAAGATGGAGGCTGAAAAGAGCTAAGTTTGGAATGGATCAGTTCCTCAGTATCGAGAGTTCTGAATAATATCTCATCAGAAATACTTTAAACATTTCAGGTAGATAAATCTTGTCTAGTAGAGAAAAAAGTTCTCATTGACTTGGAATTTGAAAATACCTTATGTTAGGAAATACTTGGATAGCAAAGATTCAAAACGATCCCGCTGTCTCAGCCACAATATGTCCAACAGAGCTCGAATTTTTTTTAGATGAGTACTTGTAAAAATGTTTCAGTTCGATCAAATGTATCATGTGATAGAAACGGACGTGATTCTTCTCTTTTCTCATGTAAAAATTGATTTCGAACCAAGCGAAAAATGAATTTTTCTATATGTATCGGAACATTTTTCTCGAGCTATTGCTATTGAACACAAGTCATGTTCAGCAATATTAAAGATTCATGACTATGCGTATTCACAGTATCTTCGAAAAAAAAAATAATAATTATCATTACAAGAATTCTGCATACGAAGAATAATTGCAGTACAAAGTTTTTTTACTAGAGATTTCAAGAATTCAACTTCTTAAAAGTATTAACTAACTATAAAGAACTTTCATTTAAATGACATTTGACAGAGGACACTTAGAAGTTATATTCACAATGAAAAACCAAAAATCGAAAAAACAACCGAAAAGGAGGAACCTCCTCAAGAAGTTCTACAAAACTTGTCTTCATAAAAAGCAGTGACACCAAATCGGCAGTATTAGGATGGGAAGAGAATTGATAACTCACGTATTGATATATATTTTTTCAGGATTTTCTGGAAAACTCAACTAAGTACCAGCGTAGGTGATATATGCAATACAGACATATAGACTGTGCGTGGTCACTTGTGTCGGTATTGTTGCGTTTGTCTGTGCAATATTTTCTCCGCTGGTACTTAATTGATTTTTCGAGGATATTCGTAGATATACGAAAAAAGAAGACTGATTAGAAGATTTTTGCTAAAGTTGATTGAATTTCAATATACTAATGTTCATTTATCAACACATCATACATGTTTAGTTCTATCATAATATGTTTCAATCATATTCAACTGACATCTATAGTGATGCAATTTAATTTGTTTTGAATAATATTAAAAAGCATTGATGATTCGAAAGACACATCTGATACACATTAACGGCAAGAGAATTTTTGATAATGTGGACGTTACTAACAGGTCTTTATCAATATTTAACTCAAAAAGATGATTATTATATTTTAATTGTTGGTCTTGATAATGCCGGTAAGACAACATATTTGGAACAAACAAAAACAAAATATTGTCCTAATTATAAAATGATGAATCCATCAAAAATAACAACAACTGTTGGTTGTAATGTTGGTACAATTGATATAGGAAATATTCGTCTTAATTTTTGGGATTTAGGTGGACAAGAAGAATTACAATCATTATGGGATAAATATTATGCTGATTGTCATGGTATTATTTATATAATTGATAGTGCTGATCGACAACGTTTAGAAGAATCATGGTTAACATTTGATAAAATGATTCAATCAGAACAATTAACAAATGTACCATTATTAGTTTCATGTAATAAACAAGATATTGAAGAATGTATGACTGTACCAGAAATAAAACGTATATTTAATCGTTCAACATCGAAAATTGGTGTTCGAGATTGTATGGTTTTAGCTTGTTCAGCTTTATCAGGTGATGGAATAAATGAATCCATCAATTGGATGAAAGATTGTATTATAAGAAATTCAACGATACGACCATCAAAACGTCAAGACATTGCATAAGAAAAAACCCTATATATTTTGTTGTTGTTGTTATTATTATTATTTTATTAATATATTTAATGAATCTCTAATTTTAACGATTTCAAAAATATTTGCAAACATAAAAGTAATTTATCAAAAAAAAAAAAAGTTCCTTATGCTATTCTTCATACATGAATTACTCAAATAAATTTATTATTTTGTTATCAAATAGTTTTCAAAAACAGCTAGAACTTGTACAAGACTTGATTTGAATTTTTTTCTCCTTTTTGCATATTCGCTTAAGAAATGTGCTTTAGCAAATTGTTGTCTTATTTAAAATGCTACAAATAAATAATAGAATTAAAACACACATAAACATTGTTCATCTACATATTGTCCTATAAGTTAACTTCAATATATTTGGTAAGAATAAACAAAAGTAATAGAAGAAAAACGTTCAGATAACAGAACGAAGAAATAATTGCACATGATTGAAGATAAATATGAAATAATGTGATGACATTCATAAAGGTATATATTATAACTACGCTACCTGCACAATACGAACATAACACATGTGATAGTAGAAGAACAGTATACATCAACTATACCTTTTGTATAAGCGTTTTTAATGATCCATGACGTCTGAATAAATGGTCTACGGTATTTCTATGTCTTAGCACATGTCTTGCTGAGTTGTTTTTTTTTCGTCTTGTATTTACTTGAATTCGATCAGTTGTTTTCTTTTAGATATCGATTTCATGTTGTATTTTAATAAAAATGCTTGTGGCAAATAATGTCAACAAATAAAATCATAAAACATGCACCTTGTAATTCGTCGTTATACATATCGTGCTACTCTCTATATAATTCTCGTTTGGTTTTTAATCATTTTTATCTTATTTCAATTACATAATTCAACCACAAATTCTAGCGATAAACAAACATTTAGTGAAGATGAAAATACCGACGAACTTGCAGAACTTAACATTAATCCACATGATTCGATTAATTTTATAAAAAGATCAATTAAAAAATTAGATAATAAACAAGAACAACTAATGGCATCAAATATTGATGATAAAAAAGTTGATCTAAATGGGCCAGGTGAAATGGGTAAACCAGTTGAAATTGATAAAACTAAATTATCACCATATGAACTTATAAAATATGAAAATGGCTTTGAAAAACATGCATTTAATGTATATGCTAGTGATTTAATATCATATCATCGTAGTTTACCTGATGTACGTGATCCAGATTGTCAAAAACTTCAACATGAACCTATATCATTAACAGCAAGTATTATTATGTGTTTTCATAATGAAGCATGGTCAGTATTATTAAGATCAATACATTCAATTATTAATCGTAGTCCTTCACATTTACTAAAAGAAATTATTCTTGTTGATGACTTTTCTGATATGGGTAAGAAAGATTTTGTTTTTCTGTGTTTGAAATCAAGACTCTGTTCTTTTTTTTTAAATAGAACATCTAAAGGAACCATTGGATGAGTATATAAAGCATCTTAAAATAGTTTCAATAGTTCGACAAAAACAACGAGAAGGTTTGATACGTTCACGTTTAGCAGGTGCTGCTGTTGCAAAAGGGGATGTTATTATTTTTCTTGATTCACATATTGAAGCTACAGAAGGTTGGCTTGAGCCTTTACTTGATCCAATATTACAAAATCGTACATTTGTTGTAACACCTGTTATTGAAACTATTGATGACACGACATTTAAATATATGCCTATTCCTGTTACAGTAATAAGTACTGGTGGTTTTGATTGGAACTTACAATTTGATTGGCATCCTATGTCCGACCGAGAACGAGAAAGAAGAAAACATCATTTAGAACCAATACGAACACCAACTATGGCTGGAGGACTTTTTGCTATTAGTAAAAGTTATTTTTATGAATTGGGATCTTGTAAGTTAACTGAAACAAAATAATAGTTTTGATTATAGAA